ACACTCATAACTGCTGGGCCAGGCCAGCAGCCATACCAAGGCATTTATTTCTTGCATCATTATTAAAAATACGAAAAAACAAGCTGGGCAGTGGTGATATATGCCTTTAATCCCAGCAGTCGGGAGGCAGAGGCAGGTGGATTTCTGTGAGTTCAAGACCAGCCTGGTCTACAGGAGCTAGTTTCAGGACAGCCTCCAAAGCCACAGAGAAACCCTGTCTCGAACCCCCCCCACCCTCCCCTGAAAGAAAACAAAACAAAACAAAACAAAAAACCCTGAGAAACAACAAAATCTCCAGCAAAGAATACTTCAGTGACAGACCCACTGACTATGACTGGTAAGCCAGTCAGAATTTAGGCAGACTTACCAGGAGATCTGCTGAACCTAGTGGTGAGAAGAAAGTCAAAGTCAGGCAAGAGGGGAAAAAACCTAGGAGACTCATTCAGCCCCACCAGGGAGAGTTCCCATTTACTGAGCATTTCCATTTCAAGTTTTTGTTTTGCTTTGTTTCTTTTCACTTCAAACTCGTTTTCCTTTTATTAAAGTTCAAGTTTCTATTACATGGTTGATTCTCAAAGGCAACTTTGTTCAAATAAAACATTTCCAAGTGATTGCTTCCATCTGGTAGCAACAGCAATAAATGCATAAGAAGCCCACCAAGGGGAGTTTCATTGTGTGGAGGCCCAGGTCCACAGAGGTAGATTTCCTTATGAGGTCCTATTTGTCTGTAACAAACTCCGGGATTGGGAGCAGCACTATCAAAATCATTATGTTGTCAGAATGGCTGCAAAGTATTATCAATGATTTGGGGCTTGGGAACCAGATCATAGCCAACAGTACATTCAGTCCTTATTAAATCCCCAGGCATCTGTCTTGTTTAGGTGTCATCCAGCTAGCATCAAATTCATCTGTCATATGTGACCCATGAGAATAGCAGCAACCTGATGGGAGAGCAGAGGCAGAGCTTGGGGTAGAGGTGGTGTGCAGGAAACTCAAAAGTCTGTGGATGTGGTGCAGTAAGGGAGGCCAGCAGGCAGCATGACCAGGGTAGGCTTCAGGCAGAGTACAGGCTGAGACTGGAGAGAAGACAGTTTGAGTTTGCCAGGAGCACATGGGAGGTGGTGGGGGCAGAGGAGGGTGGAGATGGACTTTTTTTTTATTATGTGTATGTGGAAACATGAGTGCAGTACCTATGGAGGCCAAGAGAGGGCACGGGATCCTCTGGAGATGGAATTAGACACCATAGTGAGCTGCCAGAGTGGGAAGTGGGCTGAGAGAACTGAACTGGGGTCTCTTTTAAAAGTAGTAACTTCAAAAAAAAAAAAAAAGAAATTAAGAAAAAGAAAGACAGACAGAAAGAAATAAAGAAAGGAAGGAAGGAAGGAAGGTAAGAAGGAAGGAAGAGAGAAAGAGAAAGAAAGAAAAGCCAGGCGTTGGTGGCGCACGCCTTTAATCCCAGCACTCAAGAGGCAGAGGCAGGCGGATCTCTGTGAGTTCCAGGCCAGCCTGGTCTCCAGAGTGAGTGCCAGGATAGGCTCCAAAGCTACACAGAGAAACCCTGTCTCAAGAAAAAAAAAAAAAAAAAAAAAAGAGTAGTAACTGCTCTTAAACACTTTGCCACCACCTCAGCCCCAGCACTTCCCTTCTGACGCTACAACTGTCAGAGCAATCCTAAGATGGTGGTACTACTGATCTCATGTGCCAAAAAAGGGCCACAGGCTCCAAGAGATGGCACGATCTCCCCAGAAACATCTGGCTTCAGAGAGAAGCTGAGATTCCACCTGAAGTTAATATGGAGGCAGAGCTGTGTTGTCTCTGTGACATGATGCTGTCATCACTGGAGATCACGTGTCAGTGAGCTCTCATGGCTGTTAACAAAATACCTAAGAGAACAGTGTCAAGTGAGAAATCAGTTGTTTTCAGCCTGTGGTCAACTGGCTCCCTTAGGAGCTGAGGAGAGGCTAAATATGACCATGGGAACATACGAAGGAGGAAATTTCACTTCCTGATGGACAGGAAGCAGAGATAAGAAGCCAAGGTCAAGATCCCCCAAGGACCCTTGCATATTGATCTGTTTCTTTCATCTAGGTCAACTTTCTATGTTGTTTCCAGCACCTGTCAAAATAGGACTACCAGATAGACCAATCATTCAATTAATTAGATTTTGGGGGGGGAGGGGGGTGTATGAGCATATTACATCCAAACCATAACATGCATCTCTGCTAAGTTAATTTATAGTTTAATTTTGTTTATTCTTGGAGAATTTCATACATTTAATATATTTTTATAACTACCTCAACTGTTTCCAGACCATTCTTTCATATCCCTCTTCTAGTTTTATGTTTTCTTCATTTTATTTTGTTTTGAGACAGTGCCCCCACTATGTAGCCCAGGCTGGTCTCAGCCTAGCCATCCTCCTACTTCAGCCTCCCAAACAGTAGGATTATAAAAATATACTACCATGCCTGGTCCTGGTATCTTTATTCAGTCTCAGGAGGAAAAGTCTGTAGATAGCAGTGGGTAGGAAAATAGGGAAAGCCACATTTATATGGTACTGAGCAGTAGAATAGGATTTATAGTTGTCGTCAGTGCCACAACTAAAAAGCAAAGGCTATTCCCAGACAGTGTGGGAGGGGGGAGCAGGGATGAGGACACAACGTGCAAATGGCTGCTCTTTCTTCTTTCTTTTGGTGTTTGTGTTTCCTTTCTTATCACTGTGTTATTTGTACAATAAGAACAATTCATGAGGAAAGGTGGAAAGACTGGGAAGATATTAAGTCCCTAGGGTGGACCATGGCACACCTGTCATGCAGCTTTAGCCCTGGGTCTTCCAGAGCCACCTGACAACAGCGCTTGTAAAGAAGTTAGCTCGCTATAGACAAAAGAGAAGAGAACTCTAACCATGTGCTCCAGGCTGAGGTCTTGGTTGTCTACTGCCATGCTCTGATGTTGGAGTGGTTGCTACAGCCAACATGAAATTCTTTCCTGGGCTGGAGGTATGGCAGTGACCTGGCACCTTGACCTAGGAGTTTTTGCATCTGATGGTGATTGTTGCTCCCTAGTCATTTGTTGTTGGCTCTTCCTGGCTGGGGTACCAGCTGGCCCTGTGTGAGATTTTAATTAAAGGATAGAGGCCAAGGTGACCTCAGCCAGGAGTCATTGAAACAGGACCAACCACTGAAGTTTAGCTGGGTGTCACTGTGTCCCTTGATTTTTGTTTTGTCCTTTCAGTTGCCAATGCTTCCCAGATGCTGCTCATCTGCACACCTTTCCCTCTACCTGGGATGCTTTTTCTTGTGGTTCCCAACACAGCCCACCTCTGCCTATACTGTAACACCACATTCCTTTGACTTTTTTGGTTTTTTTTGTTTGTTTGTTTTTTGTTTTTTTTTTTTTTTTTTTTGGCAAAGGGTCTTAGGTTATCCAGGCTGGCCTTGAATTCCCAATTTTCCTGCTTTCATCCAAAAGTACTTGGGCTACAGTGTGCATCACCATAGCCAGTTTATGTGGGACTGTGGGTAGAAACTAGGGCTCCATGATTGCTACGTGAGCACTACCAACAGGGCTATACTTCTTGCCCCTGTGCCATATATTCCACACACTGTTCTCGTCTCTTTTTGGGGGAATGAATCACCCCCTCCTCTTTCTCCAAAAGCCCATGACTTGTACTTTTCCTGTGGCAATTGCATTTTTTTTTCTGGTGATGGGGGATGTCCTTCTGTATTGGTTGGTGAATAAATGCTGATTGACCAATAGTCAGGCAGGAATGCTGTGAAGAGGGAGACAGAGAGGAGCTGCAGGAGAGAGGCCATGGAGCTGCCAAGGAAGAAAGGGGACTGGGCATCACCGGTAGGCCCAAGACCATGTGGAAATACACAGATTAATAGATATGGGCTAATAATTACGAGAGAGCTAGCCAATAAGAAGTCCGAGCCATTGGCCAAACAGTTTATGATTGATATAAGCCTCTGTGCATTTATTTGGCACTAAACTGCTGTAGGACCAGGTGGGATTGAAACTCCGTCCTCATTCTGACATACATTATAATTATTTATGTACATGTCTGATTCTTCCACTAAATCGTGAGCTTCTCCAGGTGACCAGGGAACATGTTTTACCCAACTTTGATTCCCCACACAGCTTGGCCAATGTCTGGCATATGGTATGTGCTCAGCCACTGTGTGGAATGACATTAAATGACAATGGGTGTGTTCTTCCTCTTTATATGTCACGGGCTTTCTGGGGAAGCTGTTCAGATTATAGGTGACCAGTTCGTTTTGTGTCCCTTGCATTCTAGAAAGAGGAAGAAGAAGAGAGTTAAAGGTATTTGTGGATCCAAATTCCAGAGTTCAGACAGAGCTCTTCAGAGAGGGCAATAATGGGAACAGGAACTAACACATCTGACTCTTAACTTTCACACGCATTAACTTTGCCAAGTCTCACAAGGATCTAGGAAGTAGCTGAGTGGGCATTATTTGGCTGTTCCAGTTGAGGAAAACAAACCTTAGAAAAATGAATGGATCTACTGAAGATTAAACTGGCTCAAATCCAGCTCTGTTGACTTCACACCCCTTTGTCTGAAACTACCCTACCTCTTGACCATATTTTTCAAAAAAGGAAGGCAGGCCAGGGTCAAACATAAAGTCTATTTACACTGGGCCCCAGTCATTAGCATCATTCATGTTTACCTGTGCCCACTCCTTTATTTCTCTCTCCAAAGCTCAGGCCTCTGGCAAACCCCTCACTTTTACTGGATCTTGGTTTTCATTTCTGTAATCGGGGGTTGAGCTAGTTTAACTGGGTCATATTCATTCCAGGGCCTAGCACAGAACCTAGTACAAATTTCTCTCACCTTCCTGGTAGACAACTCCCAGCTTCAACACTAGAGGCCTCCCAGACTCCAGCTGACATGATGGAGTGTGTAGCCAAACAGTACAGCCTCTTCCCAGGCTGGCTGCGGAACCCGAGCCTCGGCCGGTCTGCACAGATCAAATCTGGAGCCTCATTAGTCATGTCAGATGACATAGCTAACATTTGGGGCAAGCATAGCCAGTTCATCAAAAGCCCCTATGTGCTGGCTCCACCACTGCAGCTGAGGAACTACTGTATATGAAGCAGGCAGCACATCAGAGGAGCAGCGCCAGAGTGCTTCCACATCGGTTTTTGATTAATCACATAGACATGTCTTTAATCGGTGCCAGGGTAGCGGCCAGGGAACTTATGGGAAAGCAGGATGTTATGCTTTCGTTCCCTGCAGTCCCATAAAGCAATGAAAGATGGGGGACAGAATCACTGTTCGTTGAACATTTATTGACCATGCAGACCCAAAAAACACAAATAATTATTTGAATCAAAACCTAACCTTATTTTCCTAGCTCACTGGAAACCATGCATGTTCCCCTCTGCCTGACCTGCCTGCCTGCCTGTCTGCTGGGATGTACAGATGAGCAAAAGGTATGAGTTCTAAAAGAGCGTTAGCACTGAGAGCATCCTCAATTTTCTGCCACCTTCCCGAGGAAGATGCCTGGAGGTAACTGGGAAGGTAACTACCCTCAAAAGCTTCTAGCCTTCAGCCCATCACCATCTTATGAACTGACGTCAGAAGTATTCACTCTTGTTGGCAATGGCCATCAAAGGCTGGGGTTAAAGGTTTGGTGGCACACATCTTTAATCCCAGTGCTTGGGAGGCAAAGACAGGCTGATCTCTTTGATAGTTTGAGGCCAGCCTGGTCCACAGAAGAAGTATTCATTCTTTTCTAGTCCTTGGAGATTTAAGACACATGGAGTGAGCTCGGCATGGTGGTACATGCCTTTAATCTCAGTACCCAGAAAGACACTGCCTTTAAAAAATATACATGTGTTTTGTTGTTGTTGTTGTTTTAAGATAAGGTCTCACCGTGTATCACTGGCTGTCCTGAAACTCACTATGTAGACCAGGCTGGCCTCCAACTCCAGAAACCTGCCCTCATTCTGGTGTGTGGTGCAGGAATTTAATCCCAGCACTCCAGAAGCAGGCATACTTCAGTGAATTAAGGCCAGCCTGGTCTGCACAGTTAGTTCCAGATCAGCCAGGGCTACCCCTTTCTCCAAAAATCTTTATACTTTGTGTAGTAAATGGCAAGCACTGCTCTGTTACCATAGGAAATAGGGTATGGAGGCAGATACAGAGCCTTCCCTCAGAGAATGGTGATCCAGGAGAAAAGAGAGTGGGTCCACAACATGAACTGACTTGTGACTGGTAATATCACATCCTAGAGGAGATGAAGTGTTGGGATGTGGTATCAGGAGGATTTGGGTTCACATCTCAGCTTCCAGAGGCTGGAGAGATGGCTTGGCAGTTAAGAGCACTTGTTGGGCATGGTAGCAAAGGCCTTTAATCCCAAGCACTCGGGAAGCAGAGGCAGGCAGATCTCGGTGAGTTTAAGGTTAGCCAGGTCTTCAAAGTTCCATGACAGCCAGGACTACATAGAGAAACCTGGTCTTGAAGAACATTTGCTGCTCTTGCAAAGGACCTGAGTTCCATCCCCAGAACCCACACTAGGAAGCTACAACCATTGTAGCTCTAGTTCTAGGAGATCTGCTGCCCCTCTTCTGGTCTCATTGGGCACCTGCATATATGTGTGTATAACACAGAGACAGATATGCATACAAATAATTAAAAATAAAAATAGATCTTAAAATTTTTTACTTGTTAAAAAAAAATCTCAGAAGGTTGGACGGATTGCATAGCAGCTGAGAACACTACCTGTTCTTCCAGAAGACTTGGGTTTGATTCCCAGCACCCACGTGGTAGCTCATAACCATCTGTAACTCCAGTTTTAGCGGGTCTGATTCCCTCTGCAGGCACAACACATATGTGGTGCAGACATACATGCAGGCACATATCCATAATTCATACACATAAAATAAAAATAAAAACAAAAAATGAAAAAATATCTTAACTCTCATTTGTGTTTCTGGTCTGAGTTTTAATTGTAGTATACTTATATATACTACATGTCCCTGCACATGGCCATTATGAATCCCATTCAAGGCAGCAGGCTGGAAAGTACACACCACAAACCTGAGTACTGAGCAGTACATCTTCCAGGTCTAAATAAGCATCATTAGGGAGCTGGAGAGATGGTTCAGTCAGTAGTCAAGAGCACTTGCTGCGAACCTGGATTCAGTTCCCAGTATGCACATGATGGCTCACAAACACCCATAACTCCAGGTCCAGTAGATCTGGTGCTCTCTTCTGACCTCTACGGGTACCAGGCACACATGTGGTATACATATATGCATGAGGCAAAACACTCATGCACATAAAATCAATAAATCTAAAAAAGTACCCCCAGTAAAGTTCTGATAAAAGTGCTATGTGAGGAATCTTATGTTCCTGAAATAAATGAGTACTGCTCACAGGCCCTATGCTTGCCTCTGCTCTGGATGCTAGACATTTATATGGGACTCACAAGCCACCCTTGGATGAGACTGCTGCCGAATGCAGAGTAATGGTGATCCAGCAAGCTGAGCATGGTGGTGGTCCCTGTAATTCCAGCACTGAAACAGGAAGATTCAAGTTCAAGGCCAACATGAAGCAGGTGTCTCCCATGGATATCTACCAAATGTGTCTTAATAAGATACAGTAAGACTGGGCACAAACCCTCATACCACAGCTGGGCATGGTAACCCAGTAGGAGGAAAAGTCTCAAGGGCAGGTATAAGAGTTAGAGACACAAAAAGAATACCAAGCTAACAACCATAACGTAAATGCAGAGTGCCTAGCTCAGTTACATATAGGGCTCCTGTGTGTCGCTTCAAATTCTGTTGAGCCCCATGAATCCTGCTTAGTTGATTCTGTGGGCTGTGTTCTCATGGTGTCCTTCACTCTACAGTTCCTACAATCCGTCCTTCCCCTCTTCTGCAGGGTTCCCTTTGCTCCACCCAATGTTTGGGTCTGCATCTGCTCTGCTCTTTTTTCCTTCCCCACCACTTCCTGTTACTGAGTCCTAATGGCTCCCTCGGGGAGGGGTGAGAAGGCACAGACACTGGGAGTCAGATGAAAGGGAAACTGCAGACTCCTTTATTTAGCAATGGGAGGGGGGGGGAGAAACCTTGCATACCCACCCTCCCAGCATCCAGGCACTCCAATCCATTGACATCTCATGGTCGCCCCTCACTGGCTAGGCATGACCAGGGCCTCTGACAGTACCAGGCAGACTCCAGACTGGCTCATCTCTCAGCCCGATAGGCCTTAACTTCCTACACTTTTTTTTTTCTTTTTGTTCTTTTGAGACAGGGTTTCTCTATGTAGCCTTGGCTGTCCTAGAACTTTTTCTGTAGACCAGGCTGGCCTCAAACTCACAGAGATCCTCCTGTCTCTTCACCCCAAGTGCTGGGATTAAAGGCATGTGCCACCACCACCCAGGTCAAGCTGATATTTTCTTATTTTTTTAAATTTAATTCTATGTTTCCCAAAACAAAAATAAATGATCCAACTAGGCTTAGTGGTAAGTCTGTAATCCCAGAACTTGGGAGGCAGAGGCAGGAGTTTCAAGAGATCAGTAGTTGAAGAGATGGCTCATCAGTTAGGAGCAAGTGCTGCTTTTGCAGAGGATCTGGATCAGTTCCATGAATCTACTTGGCAGCTCACAACTGTCTGTAACTCCAATTCTAGGGGATCTAATGTATTCTTCTGGCTCCTACTGGCACGAGGTAAGCCATGGTGCACCTATTTACATGCAGGAAAATATACATGTAAATTAATTCTTTTTAATTGGAAAAAATAAGTTAAAGATCAGCCTCAGCTATTCAGCAAGTTTGAGGCTATCCTGGGCAGCATGAAACTTTCAAAAAATCCAAATAAAGCTGGGCATGGTGGTGCACACTTGCTGTGGAATACTTTTTCTGTACACTTCGAAAATGAACTGCTGATAAATACTGATTGGCTGATGGCTAGGCAGAATTTTTAGAGCTGAGAGAATGCTGGGAACAAGAAGGGTAGAGTCAGAGGAATCACCAGCCAGAAGGAAAGGAAGGAGGAACTGCAGGAAAGGTAAAAGCCATGAGCCTCAGGTCAGCACACAGATGAACAGAAATGGGTTAAGTTGTAAGAGCTAGTTAGTAATAAGCCTGAGCTATTAGTCAAGCATTTATAATTAATAAGGAGTTTCTGTGTGGTTATTTGGGGAACAGCTGGCAGGACAGAAAAGTCCACTTACACACACCTTTAATCTTAGTACTGGAGAGGCAGAGGCAGACAATTCTCTTGAGTTCAAGGCCAGCCTGCTCTACAGAGTGAGTTCTAAGATAGCTAGGGCTACATAGAGAAATCCTGTCCAAAAAAAAAAAAAAAAAAAAAAAAAAAAAAAAAAAAAAAAAAAAATAAAATGCTCAATTCATGTGACTCTGAAGTCTTGGCTGTCTTTTCCTCCATTATTTTACATCTAGAACATACTGTGAGTGTCCAGTATATGTTTGTTAAGTGAGGAAATAAACAAGAGCAGGCACAGGAGGACACATTGCAATCAAGGAACCAATACAAATCCTGTGCTGGGGCCCAGAGCAAGCTTTGACTATTTTTCCATAGAGGAACTGAAGTAAGAGGTATTAGAAGGACTCTAATCCCCACCCTGAAGGCAGAGAAATATGACAACGTGATGGGGACCCTAGGGAGGGGACCAGGAGAATGAAATCAGAAAACATTAATTTAGAACAGATCATCTGTTGCCATCTGTCCTGTCCCTTGGCTCACACTCTGCTCTCGACTCCGCCCTGTCTGGAGGCCGTAAGATGACTAAGGCGTCATTTCCTGTCAGGGTAAATCAGACTGATGTGGGTACTTGCTCTTCATTCTTACCATCCCCCAGGTAGAGACGTCCACATCAATCAGGATGGAAGCCCAAGCAAAGCTGGCCTTTCCACAGGGTGGCAATGGGAGTGGGGGGCGACTGCTTCCCACTCAGACCTTCCTGGCTCGGCTCCCGGGTGACTTTATGTCTCTGGTCCTGAATCTATGTTTTCTGGATGCACCTCAGTTCACTTGCTGCAGCGCCCATGTGTGACTGCTTAACTGCGGTTGCTTCCTGGGCCAGAGATCCTGGGCTTTGGAGAGCATGGGAAAGAGACAAGAAAGAAAGCTTTATATGAGGTAAGCCTTGACAGCAATAATAACGGCCAAAGACTAACTTACAGTGCTTAATAATTTATAAAGCCCTAGAGAGCTCTATTCATCTTTATGACCTCGTGCAAATGTCACCTCTTTTTACCCAAGGACAGCTCTCCCAGGCAGAGTTGATCCTTCCACCCACACTTGGTAAAATTTCCATTATCGTCCTTATTGC